CGTAAAGGTAGAGTTCATACTGCCGTACAGAAAAACTCTAATTAACTATGAACTTGTTTTCATTTCTCTTGTCAAATCATAAATTTCGTGGTTAGCTGGGGGACGGTTTTTTTGCTATCTAAGCAATAAAATGCTTATTTTGAATATAATTTTAAAGAGATCAGTTACAGCTTCTACAATAAGGTTATTAAAATAAAATGTAACTTAGCAAAACCAATTTTTTAAACATTGCTGGGGTTAGCTGTTTGCTTCTTGGTAAAAACAAAGTCTATGCATGACAGTTTCATATGCACAGAATTGTTGGCATCATATTTCTTTTGATTTTGTACTGTTGTTTAGGAAAAAGTGTTAAAAATATGTTAGATGATTTTTACATAAGATCTCAGAATGATGTACTTTTATTTATGGTCATAAAGCATCCCATTTGAAATACTCTTTGAAACAAATAAAAGACATAAAGGTGGTCAAAGTTGAGGACAATGATGGGGATAAAGGTCTTTTAGTTTATCTTTAAATTACTTTATGGCTCTGTTTTTGCTTCTTTACAGGGGACGGGTTAAGGTCAAAGTTCACCAAGGACATGTCAAGTCACATTTTAGGGCTGATAAAGATGGAGCATGCAAGTGGAAAAAAGTCCATAACGCCCATGAAAAACTATTTTTAATACCTAAAAATCACATTTTGATTTAAATACACTTGGAATTGAACTTGTTTTTTGCCAAACAGCATCTGGCTCTTCACACTTTTAACAGGTTTATTAAGTGGATAACTCTGATTTTATTGGAGTCAAAGGGTGAAATGTAATCTTGGACATTGTAAAAACCAAGATTAGGTTTATGATATGTCCATGATATTGTATCAGGTGTGGCCGTTATCTCATGTAGGTTTGAATTTAAGAAAGGAAGTCAAACGCTGTGACTTGATGCGATTGGTGAGTTGAACAAAAGAGGGCAGCATTTTATTACTTTCCCTAAGTTAGACTTAATGAGAGACTTAAAAGACCAAATGTTATATTCAAGATAATACTTAAATGGCACCTATTGCCCATTCAAGCAAAACAGAGGCTCTTGCTTCAGCTCAGTAATCAGTAGATGTCAGTTGAACACTGGGCGGCCATATCTGGAGGTGTTTTTGATTGTTCCTATCAGCTGTGTTATTTTTGTGGGTCTCACCAGCTGTAACAGCATCTCCATTTGGAAAAAAGCTCTGACTTCCAGTGGAGCTGCTGTTATCTGTGGAGGGACACCTCTTTTCATCAAAACCCCACAACAGCTCTCCTGCTCACTCCTTTTACAGTTGGTCAACTTCTTACTTCAATCTATGGTTTGATGCTGACTATAAAATAAAAATTTCTGGGTTAATCCAAATAAAGTGTGAGTCTGTTTTCCTTTCTTTCATCATGCTGACTAACCAGATCTAAACCATGGACTGAGCTGGAGGTCATTATTCAGATTACAGAAGAAAATAGCTTTATGTAATCATATAAAGTACTTCAACATCTATTTAACTAAATTTTATCATGATCAAAGAGTTATTTTATATCAGTAATTCAAGTTAACTGATATGTGTAAATTATATGGATTCTTTACATCTACTTTATTGTAGAAGAAACTGAATTTTCTGTTAGATTGTGTAAATCATCAACATTAACAGGAAATTCATACTTAAATGAGTCAGTCTTTGTGTAATGAATCTACAGTACTGTAAAAAAGATGTCAGATTTATTATGTTGCTCATTTCTTTACTCTGAATTTTTTCAAATTAGTAATAGGGGTTTCATGTTTGGCAAAGATAAGTCCAGTAAAACAAAACAAAACAAGTGGTTTAATATTGCCATTGTATTTAATGAGGGGTAAGCAAGCTACCCAAACATGGTCAGTGACTACTCTAATTAAAAATGTCCTGCTCTGATCAGTTGCAGGCCTAAGACAATCACTTATTCTGAGTCTGAATGAATGAATGAATGAATGAATGAATGAATGAATGAATGAATGAATGAATGAACGAAAAGGAATTTATTTCAGACAAATTTGACCAACAACAATAAATAAATCATCTAAATACACACAAAAAGAGACTGGTTAACATCAAACCAAACCAAACTCCAATTTCCAATCAAACTAAATTCACCTGAATATAAATAGAAACAAAACCCTCCACCAAATAAAGCTGTCGGTATATACGGACAGAGATTCATGTGAGTCTGGCAAGAGGAATTAGCCTAGAGATTTCAGACCTGGACAAGAAGCTCTAACTATTTGGCTGATCTGACAATTGTTTTCAAGACTTACGGACCCCGGAGATCCTAACTAAGAACATGCTTTAATAAACAATGGTTCCTTACCTTTTTGTCCTGCCACAAATACTTAGGCAGCACATTAAAGACTCATGCAGAAGTTCATGAATGAGCGACGAGCATGAAGAACAACACCAAGGGGCACTGCAGACCTTACTTACCTTTGTTAAAGGCAGCTTTCTCGAGAACCCCAAAGTATTTTAATAATCCCAAAGCCAGGGTCAAGCATGGAGGTGGGAGTATGTTAATTAGGGCCAGATTTCCTGCTCAGATTTCCTGATCAAACCATGAATTCTGCTTTCTGATAGAAAAAGTCCCTCCTTCAGATTACAACCTAAGTCTTGAGCACAATATGTTTAGGCAGCCAGTCCACCTTTGAATGGCTCCCAAGAAGCAAAATGAAGGGGTTAAGCTTTTTTAAAGTCCAATTTAGTATCTAAATGTGAAATGACCTTAAAAAGGCAGATCATACTGGAAACACTTCTTATTGGACTAATTCTAGAACAATCCCAGAGTAAAGTGAGGGACAAAGTTCTCCTGTGGGGATATAAAAGCCTCATTTCCAGTGACCAAAAATCCTTGATGGCAGTTAATTCCGCCAAAGAAGGCATGATACATGACAAAAAGTTCAGTTATAATAAGATCAGTTAGGTCAAACAGATTATAAGGTCAGTTCCTATAAATGGTTAAAGGTTTCTTGGAATAAATATTGAAATGTTTTTCCATAGGTGCAAAATCCCCCAAAGAAACCGATTCCCATTAGTGGTTGACTGAAAGGATTTAGTTACTGTAAAAATAGAATTAAAACCAAAAGTGAAATGAAACTTTCTTATAGAGCCAATGAATAGTTTAAAGGAGCTTCTTGAAACTAAAAGCAAAAGGACACGACTTACTGAAGCTCAATGACAACAGAGTGTAACAGATCCCTTCACCCCTTCCCAGAAATACAGCCTAGATATGGTCACAAAGAAAATAGAAATAAAACATTCTTATTCCACCATCTGTCTGTTCGGCTAAAAGGGAACTGGTATTCATATCCAGCAGTTCATGGGTGAAAACGATATGCAATTTACCCAGAGAGAATCCACGCATGCCTGGAGAGAACATGCAAACTCTATGCAGAAACACACTAGCCAGGATTGAAACCCATGACCTTCTTGCTGCAATTTAAACCCACAATCTATTGTAACACACCACGCCACTGTGCAGACAGAGATAAGATATATGACGGAAAATTCTGTTATACTACTCAACGCACAGACAACAGAGCACTGACACAAAATTCCCAAAGACATCCAAAGTGGACAATATACAACATAAAAACAAAAACAAAACAACAAATCCATATTGGGCATAAATTTAGGCAAATGTGAGCTAAAATAATCTAATCTACAGCTCTAAGATCTTTCAAAATGTCTTTAATAACCTTAGAACTAATATTACAACCTTAAAAATATATTAAGCACATATCCACAGATAAAGATGTGTATAAATATGCAGATAAAAGCAGATTGATTTATCAGTTATTTTTGAAAAATGGACCTTTAAGAAGAGAGAAAGAGCAATACCTTAGTCAAATTAAGAAAGTTCAGTGTTAATGAGACAAGGAATACTATAATAAAATGTTTTTTTTTTCAAACATATATACGGTACACAAATAATCTCTGACCAGCTGAAAAGAACATTTAAGATTTCTCATATATTATATTTTCATTAAAACCAAAAATTATCACTCTAACTGATCAACAGTCTAACCAAATTAAATCCAATAGATTTGATTGTTAATATGCAAAATTAAAAAGCACAGTAAAGAAATGAAAAAGTTATAAATAAAAAGTAACATTTCTGGAAAGTTCAAAGTGCACTGCAGCATGGCTGGACTTGAAAACCCACAACACATCATGGGGATATACAACTCACTTGGGAAATGTTCAAACCCGAAGATAAGGTAATAGACAAACATGTACCCCTCAGTGCAAATACACTGTTTATCACAGTATTAAATCATTTAAAATGATATGCATCACATTTATTATTATTCTACACTTATGTTGTAGAAAAAGGCAGACGGTATTGAATTGTTTCCTTGTCAGTCATTAAGATAATATTTATTTTGCTGTTTATTTAAAATTCAGATTAAATTTTTTTTCTCACCTACTGAGTTTTACATCGTTTTTCATCTACTAACAATATATAACACTATGTGTTATATATTATATGTGCGGTTAAATTGCATGTATGACGTAGACGGAAGTGGCGCTTTTCGTTTCGTTTAGACTTTTATTTTGAAGTAACACTTCCTGTGATGGTGGATTATTAACTGGCAGCCGGCAGGCTACCTACAGAGAAGCGGCGTTTATAAGGTTTTAACGGTTCCCCCCCTATTTACTGCCTCGGTGAATTTTCACGTAAGCTACCTTATAGAGCTGAGTGTTTTAAAGGCTGTATCTGCGGCTGTGTTAAATTAACGTAAAGTCGCTGTGTGGAGCCCTCCCATAAACGAGTAGCGCGCGCGTCCACTTGTAAGCTAGCAAGAGGAGGGTGGGGACTAAACTTCCAGACCTCGCCCCAGTCGTTGTTCGACTCCAGCAGACAGGCAGCTAACCTCCGGTCGGCTTGAGAGACCTCTCTCAACTTAATTAGACAAACGTTGAAGGGGAGACCGGCACAGCTGTGTCAACCGAAGGGTAATCCACCAGCAACCATGTTCAGAAAGACCTTGAAGAAGGACCCCGAGCTGTTCCAGAACGTGTCCGAGGGGCTGCGGAAGCTTTACCGAACCAAACTGTTCCCGCTGGAGGACACGTATCGATTCCACGACTTCCACTCCCCAGCGCTGGAAGATGCCGACTTCGACAACAAGCCGATGGTCCTTCTGGTGGGGCAGTACTCCACCGGTAAAACCACCTTCATCCGGCACCTGATGGAGCAGGACTTCCCCGGTATGCGCATCGGCCCGGAGCCCACCACGGACTCTTTCATCGCGGTGATGCACGGCGAGCAGGACGGGGTGATCCCTGGAAATGCCCTGGTGGTGGACCCCAAGAAGCCCTTCCGTAAACTCAACGCATTTGGAAACGCCTTTCTTAACAGGTAATGACCCCCTTTGAACTTTATAGGGAAAAAACCTCAGATAATATCGGGGATTTAAATCTCCGCCTTACAAGTCCTAACACGCGCCACACCTTTTTTTTCTTCCTTAAGCATATCCATAATGTAGTGTTGCACAATTTTTGCTGAAGTGCCAAGAGGCTGTGAGAGTCTTCCTTCTTTCATCATCCCAAAAGAATGCCTGTAGAGTCAGTGGACAGGTGGAAAATCACTCCGTGTGTGTGGAACAGAGAAAAGCAAAGGTGCTTTCCAATAACCTCATCAAATAGGAAGCTCTTTCTCTTTCCCTTATAAACCAATGTCAATCACTGGTACATTTTATTACAAGGTACTTTTAGGAAATCACTATGTTCCAAACTCATTGCTCACACAACAGTATGCCCTATTAAACACAGATAAATGTGAGCTATGCTGCTTGGCAACATGCTGACCTTGTTGTGTCCTTATAAGCCAAGGCCATAAGTTTCACGTCCCTCAGGCTGTAAAAGTCTTACCTCACCAGGCTGCTCCTATCCGGCTCAGCTCTGGAGACATTGAGATATAAGGTTGCTGTTAACACTGGCGTTCAGTATTTTATCATTCAATTAACTTTTATGACATAAAAGAAATGATTAATCTTTCCTGTTCAGTTTCTACGTAGCATGTTGATTTAATTTGCTCCATTGTAGTCAAGTTGAAAAGCTAATCTTGGATCTTTAATCAAGATATTAGATTTTTTTTATTTGATTCAACCCAAACTTGGGTTAATCTTACACTGGATTCTAAACCGCCTTCGTTTGGTCTCTTAAACTATACAGATGATGTGATCTAACAAACTTCTGAGTAAATACATCATAGTAGCTAACCCCTGAAGCCACTAGTGTGTGTCCTATGGAGTTATTTTAACAGAGGGTTAAAGGTGGTGATCTGTTGGTTGTCATCAGATGTTTCATCTTTGGTCAGTTTTAATTCATCTGATGGGAGGTGGTTCTGGGGGCTGATTATCCAGATTCAGAACGGATTTTCCCATCCAATGAATGACTGGTTCTTCCAAAAGCTCAGATGAGTCAGAGCTCCAGGTTAGTTTTTTTTTTTTTTTAGCTCACTCTGGCATAAATTAGTGTTGCACATTAGTGATTTTTGAGTCCAAAAAAACCCCAAGGACTTTTGAAAAGTTTAGTTTGCCACTATTTCAAATGCTCTCCCAATGAGGCTTGGAAAGCAAAGATATGTTATCTGAATGCTAAAACACCTGATCCTGTTATGTAATGTGTGGATTTCTAATGACAGACTTCCTAAAATGTGACGTCCCTTCCTGGAACGGATATGGGATTCTCTCCTTCCCTCTGCCAGACAACATGTCATCCTGCAGAGAAACATCCGGCTAAATAGATTAGTCGTAACCCCCAACAAAAAGAAAGGGGCTAAATTTGTTTACAGCTGTAATCTTAATTTTCTGTTGACATCAGATTGTTTATTTTGTTGCCAAGAGCTGTAGTAAGATAAACACTCGAGTTGGGACTTGCTCCGTTGGGCCCGTTTCCTATTATCAAGATCCTTTAACATTCCTTCCTGGAATTATGCAGAGTGTTGTCCTTATCTTCTATGGAGGCAAACTTCTGCCAAGTCACTATCATTCATGAGAAAAGTGTAACACCTATATTTCGTTTATCACTTTTATAGCAATAGGAAGTGTTTTGCTTTATCAGACATCATTCAAAGCTCAAACTTTATTAAAGACTAAAGAGGAAAGCAGATAAAATTTTCCTTTAAACAATGACCTATTGTTTGCCACATCATTTGTCAAACTCTTGGGCCAAGTACTTTCACATTATGTGGTTTGATTTGAATTCAGTCTGCATCTCTGTGGATTTTCTCTTTACTTTAATGCGCTTTAATTTGTTTAAATGTTTCTTTAGATTCATAATATTTTTGTTGTGTAGAGTTTTGGCTAATTGGACCACATGCCTCTGATTTGGTGTCTTGGTAGGTTTACTTCACTGCTGAGCTGTGAAGCAGAATGACACCAGATGTCGTTTTTGATGTTTGTTTTTTTCCCCAGTGTAACAGAGCTACTGAAAAAGAGATCACGTATCACCTCCAGAGTGATTATTACCCTTAGAAGATTAAAGAATAAATAGATGTTGCTGCCTTTTATTTTGAAATGCATGGTTTATTTCCAGTGAGAAGAAAGATGTTTTCTCAGAACCAGTACTGATTTCGCTTTTAAAAAACCCACATAGTTTGTTCTATTTAAACAAGAAAGCTTTTTTCCGCAATTAGCTCTGATTGTAAAAGATTATTTTGGCCTTTTAACACCAACCTATGAGACCTTTAAGCACAGAGTGCATCATGGCGGCCATATGCTGAGTCCATGATTATTATCATATCCCTATCTTATCAAACGTAATCAAAAGCACATGGCAACCAACCAGACAAAAAAAAACTCTACATCAAAATTGCCTGCTTTAAAGAGATTTTCTGATTAAAAGTTTGAGTGTATTTTCTTGTTGCGTGCATACAGTAGATGGTGGTTTGTCCTCCGTCTCTGTCGCCATGATGTTCTGAGGAACAGTTTAGGCTGTATCTTGCCTATCCGCTCGTTGCTGCAGATAAACACTAGTACCCTGCAATCGTTGATATCGATGATATCTATATTCTCTACTAGGCTTGTCCCGATCCGATCCACGTATCGGATCGGGACGCCGATATTGGCAAAAAAAATGCGTATCGGCAAAGCATGTAAAATGCCGATCCAGACTGCCGATCCAGTTTTTAAAAAAAAAATCCGGTCCGTATTTTCCAGTTTCGCCGATTGAAACGATCCATTCCACTATTTTGCGCCAGTGTTTCCCTGTTTTGCATTTTTATTAAAACTTACAGTAATACTTGCACCTTTAACTGTTTATGGTTTTACTGCTCACTGTGCAATTTCTGATTGCTATTCATAATTTTGTCCAGTTTGTGTTTATCTCTTAATAAACAGGTAAGTTTGTTGTTACCAAGCATTGTGTTTTATTCAATCTCACCTAATTTAGCTGGCTAGATGTTATCAAGAGTACTAAAACCCTTTTCAACATGAGTCTTACAACTAAGGCTAAATACTTTAACTTAAACTTAAATACATGCTCGGATAGGCTGGTATCGGCCAGTATCGGTATCGGATCGGAAGTCCAAAAACAATATCGTATTGGATCGGAAGTGCAAAAACCTGGATTGGGACATCTCTATTCTCTACATTTACACTACAGTTACAATAATTGTGATTGGTTATCTTACTTAGCCTGTTTCCTTTGAGGATACAAAAATCCACAATCTAAAACCAAAGTTGACTTTTTGGGTAGTGGCATCTACATGGTTAGTGTTGTTTCAGTTGGTTTAGGCAATAACTATAAAAATATTTCACCTAAAAATACTAATTTTGAATCACCTCTTCTACGCATTGCTTTAGTATTGTCTTCTAAAAAGTGGTGATAGAAAATCCAGGATCAGACTCTTAATTGGCTGAGTTGATGATATTGTGATGTCAGCCCTCCTGCGCTGCTTTTAACCATAGTTATTCAGTCTGCAGATTAGCCTTTAACTACCAGGCTCAGATGTGTCTTAGCTTCAGTGTAAGCAGTTATTTATGAAGAGCATAAACAGGAATCAGTTTGTCACGCCATCAGCTCTCACTCAGAGCGATAACTCTAAATCATTCTTTTTATTTCTGATTTCCTCTTATTTGTTATTTTTTTAACCAACATCTTCTTAAGAGTGATTTGATAGTACTTCTGACAAGCAAAGATACTGTTTCAGTTCCACTCCTTTATTTTTTGTGCCACTGCAGTCCAGAGGCCCCAGTGTATTTCTGTGTTTTCTGTAAGCCATTAGTCAGTAAATCTAGAATCAGCAAAGCTTCAGTTCCGCTCTGACCCACCCCGGCCCACACTGTCCGGCTCCGTCCTGTCCTGTTTTTCCAGGTTGCTGACTGAGCTTTTTAATGAGACCGAGGCCAGACCCTTGCCAAACCTCACGGTGTGCTTCAACCACTAAGGTAGAAGGAGATTTTTCTAAACAGCTGGTAAAATACATAAAGATTCAGACTTTTTAGTGGGAAAAATGGCCACATTAGTAGGCTTCCTGGTCACGTTTCCACTGAGAGTGACAGGCTTTCCATTTCCTCTTCTACATGGGAAACTGAGGTTACTATGCGAAGGAAGGCTGAAGGTCAGCATGCGTGTGTCATGACTGGGAGGGCTGATATAGTGTTAAATGTTCTATGTTTCGCTGAGGACGATTCTTCTCTTTTTTATGATCTATAATCACACAGCAGAGAAGTTGCTGGACTGCTAAGTCAGCACATTTCTGATTCTGATGAACTGGAGCTTTTTGTCCTGTAGGATCTGTAAGGACAGACAGTTCAATAAAAAAACATAACACGATTCCAGCTAAATTGTATTTAATAAAACATTTGAGAAAGAAAAAGGAAACCTTGCAGTGCTGCTATCTTTTTCTACCACTGTAAGCTGATCCCATTCCTCAGCTCTGAACCAAAGGAGCCATTTTCCTACTCTTCTTTGCCTGGATCTCTGTGGGTTTTTCCTTTTCCCCCCTGCATGCGGTGCTGGACCTCTGTCAGGGTTTGTAGAGTTTGTGCGGTCCAAGCAAGAATGTGAAAGTATGGTTTTCTCAGTCTTATGACCTGGTGCCTCTGAGCTCATGCTGTTAGCGTCAGTTCTGTTTGTTGAAGGGGCAGCAGAGTGAGAACTAATACTCTCAGCTATGAGACGTCCTAACAATCCAACCCTTTGTCCTGAGTGGGTCTCTGTGGGATTGTTTTAAACAAGTCATCCTCTCCCACATGTCTGTTGCTCACTCAGGTAGTGTGTCTGAGATTTCTGCTGGAGTATGCAACTCCCAGTTATGGCTTACAGCCCTGTGAACATCCTGAGGCTCTCTATGGCTGTAAATCACGTTGATCTGGGAAGAAGTCAACCCTCTAATTTGAAGGTTTATTGTTTGTTGATTCATTATTTTCCCTATTTATCTTTCTCACATTAATGTGAAAACAACAGCTTTATGCTGTCTGGAAAATCAGCATCAACACATTGTCTAACTTTGTAGGAAACAAACCAAAACATCAGTTAAAGTCACCTTTTTAAGCCTAATATATCTCTTAAGCTTGATTGAGGTATGTGGATTTGATTGACTGTAGAGTAAGCAAACGTCCTCTAAACATTCTGATACCCTCTAAACAGGTATTTGCATCACTTATGCCCCTTCTATTGACAGTTACTGCTTCACACAGCTTCACTCTGCTTGGTGTCCCTCTGCACCAAACTGGATTGGGTGCAGGAGGAGGAACAGAGAGGCTGCTGCTGGAAGAGATAATTTAGCTGATAGTTTAGCAGGATTAAGTTATCAAAGAAAGCAGCATCTGCATGTATTCTGAAAGCTTACGTGTCTTTTCTTTTTTTGTTTTCCTTAAGATGTGGTTTATGGTTTTTAAATAGTAAAAATGATATTTGCTTGTCCTGGTTCATTTATGGCGCTGTTTAAGTTGTCTCTTTTCAGTTGAATTTTTCCTGCACTTCCTCTGTGAGAATCTTTTTTTTTTTTTTCTTCATCCCATGGGCAATCAGCAAACAGCAGCCTGCTCAACTTATACTTCAGCCCTACTCTGCATTTCACATAATACCTCCTTTTTTAGCAGGCATGAAAAGTAGTGAAATAGTGATGGTAACACTCTCAAAGTCCTCTTGAGTGGAGTAGGGCTGGCCTCGGCTGAGTCTGTGGATAACTTATGATAATGCCACAACTGGTATCATTAACCCTATAGCTATTTTTTTTATTAAATATATATATATTATCCTGCTGTACTAAATATAAAAAAGAGAAGCTGCAATTTTTAAATGGCAGTCAGTTACCTATACCTTCAGAATGCTTGTCAATGCAGTGTATGTTAAAACACCCTTGCTTAACTGGTTTTCTATTCTCCTTATGCCCTTATCTCTCTCTCTCTCCATCTCTGTTGTGTTAGCTTTTTTTCTAATTTACTGTCATTTTCTCCATCCTGTGTCCCACCCCCTCCTCTAGGTTCATGTGTGCCCAGATGCCCAATCCCGTCCTGGAAAGCATCAGCATCATTGATACTCCTGGAATCCTGTCTGGAGAAAAGCAGAGGATAAGCAGAGGTCAGCTTTATAGACACTCACACTTTCACTATTGTTAGTATAGCACCACACCCTCTAAGTGAAAGCCCAGAATTGGAGGAATCACGCAGCCTGATGCAAATACAAAATTAGCTGAGAGGAAGTGAAGAGTTCAGATATAAAAAGGAAACATATTGTTTGTCCTTTTTTCTGCAAGACTTTTCTTTTGGTATTTTTACTTGTGCTTCTGCGCAGCAACTGTAACGGCTTGCCCAGAGTGTTGTCAAACCTGTATTTAACTCCTCTGGCACCCTAGAGGCAAAGCAGAACCCAAAACGTAATGCATGTGTGACAGAAACAAGGAGAGGCCATATAACACTTTGAAAAGCACATCATTTCCTGTTTATGTGGATGTCGTCTTTCAGATGAACTGTTATTTATGCTGCCTTTTATTTAGCCCATCAAAGAAAAACTCTGATTATGTTCCTTTTTGGTTATTTTTCTTTCTAATAACCCTGTGTTTTAATGCGTAGTTTCTTCCCTTCTGCCCTTCTTAAATAAACCAATTCTTATTTTTCCACTTGCACCAACAAAAGCGGGACCCTTGGGGTCATTTCATTGTTGCAGATTGAGCTTTTTGGAAAAAATACTTTTGATGATCTTACAGAACGTGAAGAGATAAAAGAACAGCTGAACAAAGCTTCTGCTTTTTGTACCTGCTTTTTTTTATTTGTCAGTTTAAGAGGAAACGCACATACACTATATTGCCAAAAGTATTTGCTCACCCATCCAAATTATTGGAATCAGGTGTTCCAATCACTTCCATGGCCACAGGTGTATAAATTCAAGCACCTAGGCATGCAGACTGTTTTTACAAACATTTGTGAAAGAATGGGTCGCTCTCAGGAGCTCAGTGAATTCCAGCGTGGAACTGTGATAGGATGCCACCTGTGCAACAAATCCAGTCGTGAAATTTCCTCGCTCCTAAATATTCCACAGTCAACTGTCAGCTGTATTATAAGAAAATGGAAGTGTTTGGGAACGACAGCAACTCAGCCACGAAGTGGTAGGCCACGTAAACTGACGGAGCGGGGTCAGCGGATGCTGACGCGCATAGTGCGAAGAGGTCGCCAACTTTCTGCAGAGTCAATCACTACAGACCTCCAAACTTCATGTGGCCTTCAGATTAGCTCAAGAACAGTGCGCAGAGAGCTTCATGGAATGGGTTTCCATGGTCGAGCAGCTGCATCCAAGCCATACATCACCAAGTGCAATGCAAAGCGTCGGATGCGGTGGTGTAAAGCACGCCGCCACTGGACTCTAGAGCAGTGGAGACGCGTTCTCTGGAGTGACGAATCGCGCTTCTCCATCTGGCAATCTGATGGACGGGTCTGGGTTTGGCGGTTGCCAGGAGAACGGTACTTGTCTGACTGCATTGTGCCAAGTGTAAAGTTTGGTGGAGGGGGGATTATGGTGTGGGGTTGTTTTTCAGGAGCTGGGCTTGGCCCCTTAGTTCCAGTGAAAGGAACTCTGAATGCTTCAGCATACCAAGACATTTTGGACAATTCCATGCTCCCAACTTTGTGGGAACAGTTTGGAGCTGGCCCCTTCCTCTTCCAACATGACTGTGCACCAGTGCACAAAGCAAGGTCCATAAAGACATGGATGACAGAGTCTGGTGTGGATGAACTTGACTGGCCTGCACAGAGTCCTGACCTCAACCCGATAGAACACCTTTGGGATGAATTAGAGCGGAGACTGAGAGCCAGGCCTTCTCGTCCAACATCAGTGTGCGACCTCACAAATGCGCTTCTGGAAGAATGGTCAAAAATTCCCATAAACACACTCCTAAACCTTGTGGACAGCCTTCCCAGAAGAGTTGAAGCTGTTCTAGCTGCAAAGGGTGGACCGACGTCATATTGAACCCTATGGATTAGGAACGGGATGTCACTTAAGCTCATATGTGAGTCAAGGCAGGTGAGCAAATACTTTTGGCAATATAGTGTACCAATAAGGAAGCTTTTCTTTTTTTCCTTTGTTAAAAGAATGAAACAGAAAAAGTCTATTGTTGTCCTCTAAATGACTTGATTTACCAGAGGACAGAAAAAATACCAAGAAATTTAGGAGTTCTTCTTCAGGATTCACCAGTGTTTTTTAATTACAGTTTAATACTATATTAATCACACTGCTCATAGGTTTTTGTTTCTGGTTACAACCACTAACTGCTATGTATATAATTGGGTTTTGATGTAACTGACCAACTCAAAGTAGTCCGTAATGGTTACCTAACCTTTTCTTTATAAAAAGTATGGTGTGTGTGTGTGTGTGTGTGTGTTTATATTTAGTCCCCTTTGTAATTTGGCTTTAGAAGTGGCCTGGTAGAGACACCATCTGTGTTTAATATTATATCAGAACATAAGAGAAATATATCTCACAGGTCTCTCATAAAAGATGCTTAAAGCAGGATTAGGTTATAAAATGGAGCACTGGTAAATCCAAAACCAGAAAAGGAAAGGAGATGGCACAACTACAATTTTATCTCTGGAGGAGCTGCAGAGATTCTCAGCACAGGTCGTAGAATATGTCAACAAAATGGCAATTAGTCACAGAATGCACTCCTCTGGCCGTTAAAGAGCAGTATCTACAGGACAGATTTAGTTGAAAGAAAGACAAGGTTTGTTTAGAGTTTCCTACAACCAATGCTGGTGATACAGCATAGATGGGAGTAGTTCTGGTCAGATGAGAACAGAACTGATTTTAGTTATTTTATCCCCTCTGACTGACATTGAGCTGTTTTAAAGAGAAGAATAGGTGAAATCAGTTGCTAGATGTGTAAAGCTGGTCGAGACATGTTCCTAAATAACAGTAAAAAAACGGTTAACATTTGTTGAAAAAGAATTGTAGGGCTGCAACTAATGATTGGTTTGCTTGTTGATTATGTCAATTTATTTTTTCTGTTTATTATTAATTGGATATCAAAAGGTTCCTTGAAGATTTTTTTACAGAATTAAAACCAGGTTAAAAAGAAAACTTTTCCACTTGAGGAGTTCTGGATAGAGCATATTGAAAGATGAAAATAATATTTTTTTAATCTTAAAGGTATAATGTTTAAATATTTTTAACACTTTTGGTCTAACTACTGCTGTAAGTGGGTTACTCTCAGCTGAAGACATGTTTTAGAGTCTGTATTCTCCAGTTAACAATTAATCGCTTACTAAATTAGTTGATGAACATTTTGATAATCCAGTTAATTGATACAGCTCTATAGAACATTTAAAAGGATGCAAAAACTTTGGCAAACAACTATTGAGACACTGCTGCTTAAAGGTCATTTTAAATGGAAATATGAATGTCAGACTTATGTTAGGACACAGATGATGTCAGTTTTCTCTGAAACAAATATACACATTTTCTTGCTCCGATGAAACGTAATCGGGATCTGAAATGTTTTTGTGTCTTTGTATGAATGTAGAAGTTGGTACAGGTTGAGGTGACCTTGTCTGATGGAACAGCAGAGTAAATCTAAGCAGTTTTGTTTCTCTTCATACTTTCACTCAGACGTATTCAGTCCTTTCTGAATACACGTCATCTCTGACCATGTATCTGTATAAACATTGGTATAGTAGTGTAATCCATAGACATACAGTACAGACTGTTTCACATATAAACAGACCTGTTAGACTGTGCTGCTCTAGCATGACGGGAATATGCATGTTCAGTCTGCAAACATTAACTTGGAACCATTTTGCAGGAAGCTTTGCTATAAAATCAGTTCATGACTGTGCCAACCTCTGAGTATTTAACTCGTCTATTAGACTCCATCAGTGCTTTTACTCCTAAAATCACAGCTGCTTTGGCCTTTTTCATAAGTATTTGACAAACCTGCTTTTCTACAGAAGGCAGTGAAACTAAAGTGAAATCATGAATGCTTCCTTGCTGTTGTGAAACCCTGACAATGTGTGCTGTTTGTGATTAGGCTAGCATGAACGCCTCAGTTCATGTTCCTGTCTAAGCTATGAAGTTACTAAAGCCATATTGAAACTGTGATTTTGCAGAACTATCTGGTGTCTTTCCCATAGTTACCTCTGATGACTAGGCAGTGAGACATTTGAGCCGTTCAGAGAAAACTATAAAAGAAGAAATTCTGAGAGGCAAAGTCAAGCTTTTGGGAAAACACTGCCTTCTCTGCCACTGGGTTGAGTGAAAGCCCTGATGGGTCCCTTTAGTTTTGACAGTGAAAATATATGATTATACCTGCACCAAACTAACTTTATTAGTTGCTTTTGACCCAACTAAAGATGGTGGTTTCTTTTCAGTTAGTACATTAAATTGAAAGTAAAACTGAGGATTGCCCTTCAAACAGCCAAGGTTCTCAACCTGCTGTCCTTTCAGTTTGACTGGGATTGTTTTGTTTTTTGTTTTCAATGATGCATATACAGTATGTGAGCAGTTTAGATAGTTTTGCTGTTTTGTTTTACATTTTTGAATGGGAAACCTGGACCTGGGAAAATTATCACCACAAATATAAAGTCGTAGGTAAATCATATTTAAATCTCAAATCATTCTGGCTTAAACATGTATATTATTATTATTATTATTATTATTATTATTATTATTATTATTATTATATTGTATTTGTCCTGAAATGTAGAAAATGTCTATTAAAAAAAAAAAAAAAAAAATCCTGTCTTAAGATCTATGGGGTTTTTCGTAATTTTATGCAGGCCAGTTAGTTATACGTCAGCTTGTACACTTAAATACTGCCAATCATATATCAACGGTCATCTCTCAATCAAATTTTTTCTGTCATAGCATCATGATTCATATGTCGCAGCTAATATAAGCAACGGTTGAAATAAGAAATACCGTATTTTCACGACCATAAGGGCACCGGACTAAAAGGCGCAGTCTCAGTTATGTGTGCCATTTCTGTATTTAACACACACATAAGGCGCACCGGACTAAAAGGCGCAGTCTCAGTTATGTGTGCCATTTCTGTATTTAACACACACATAAGGCGCACCGGACTATAGGGCGCGTTTTTTATATACAGGTACATGTCCTCTCAGGTGGAT